AGGAAGGAAGGAAGGAAGGAAGGAAGGAAGGAAGGAAGGAAGGAAGTTCCTAGTCCGGAATGGTGCTGAGGTGGGACATGGGGGGCAGAGGAAGGGGCGGTATTCTGAAGCAGGGGCCAAAGGAAAAGCCTCCATTGTGCCAAGGGGGGTCAGGTGCGGCCACCCACCTATCAGCCTGCCCTCACCACTTTGGCTTTGGGGTGAAGAATAAAGAGCTGAATTTCGTGCAACTGCCTGTTGTCGCTTTGATTCCGGCTCAGAAACAAACTGCTAGGAAATAATTTTAACAGCTATATGGGCTGAGACTTAGGGAAATCCAGGGTTTTGGGTGGAAGGTCCCAAGGTCTAAGGATATCCATTGGAAAGCAATCTCATTTCCCTACTTACAGAGAGCTGAGGGAAAGGGGAACACACACACACAAACACACACATGCACAGGTATAAAGTTGGGAGTAGAGATGAGCAGGAGGCACACAGAAGAACTTTCCTAATTGGCCTCAAGAAATTCACGGTTCAGAAAGACAAACAGACAAAACGCTCGTGCATGCACAGACATGCTTGATTAAAACACAGAACAAAACTATTGATAACTCGGTTCTCACAAGGCTGGGCTGTAAACATTTGTCCCAGTGATTACAGTTATTGTGCTCCTAAGTGGGGCGCTTTCTTGGCCAGGCAAAACAGGCTTGGACTACACGCAGCAGTTTTTTCAAAAGTTTTTTTTTTTTTAAGAAAAAAATCTCATCTCTGGTAAGGAAGACCTCCAAGAGCCGCATCAGGTCTGCCCAAGATGGGTATGACTTTCAGTAATCCCTTCAGGCTCCTAATGACCCTCTGCAGGTCCTTTGGAAAAGGAGGAGCGTCTTTCGCCCACATTCCCAGATCAGATGGGTCGAAAGGCAGGTGGGTAAAAACAAAACCTGATTACCTTCTCCTCGGCCAGGTACGGGATTCTTTCATAAAGGCGCCATTCAATTTCCTTGCAGTCTTCCGTCCAAGGCATTCAACTCAGGATGGGCTGGGGGGGGCTGGACATGGAGGAATTAAAAGCTACACTCGGGATTAGAAAGTCCTGCCCAGCAGAACCAACAGGGCAGATGGGAAGCTCTTAGTTTCGATCTCAAAGATTTTAATATGGCGCAGTCGAAGGTCCCCATTGCAGGCCAAATTGGTCTACCAGCTGTGTGGGTCATCCGAGCCCATTCCAGACACAAACCTCGAGCACAACTCTTCCTCGTCCCTGCCTGTACGGGTAATAACCCCTGTCCCAGGCGAGGAGCATCCGTTCCGGGGGAGGGCGGGAGACCTTGGGCTGCTCATTCCCCATCTTCTCTGATAACACGCGTGTCCCCCAAGGTGTTAGGCGTATCCTTTACACCCGGAGACTTCCCAGTGAACTCCTGGCCCTCCTCCTCACTCC